TACGCATTAAAATAAATATGTTTTATGATGTATGTATTGTCGAAATATCCGATTCGTCAACTATGGCGTTAATTACTTAATCAAAAGATGGCCCTTTCGGTAACATTCTTCCACAATAATACATTCAGCTTATAAACCTCTAATAATCTTCACGAGTCACATTCATATATACAAAAAAATAATCATGTCACAAGAATCTACCAAAAAATACAATATCGATCATTTAATTTCAAAAAGAGCAATTAATAGGCAATTCATTCATTTCAATTCTGATAATTCCAAACGTGCCCCAGAAGGATTTCTTCCCCATCCCAGGCCCTTAGGTCTCGCATATGGAAGACCAAACCCTCAATATTATCCTATAAAGAAGATTACAATTGCTTTAGATGAATATCCGTTTCAAGATTCATTGTTTAGTACAAAAAAACATGATGAAGTCTCTTTTGACGTTTTGAGAGTTGCCGATGAAACCGGTTCTATTGGACTAAATGAGGCGTTCCAATATGGTGATCTAAATGGCCTTCCAGCTTTTGCAAAGTTTGTTAAGCAATTTGTAGAGCAGATCCATCGGCCGTCTTATGACAATTGGCTCACTATAGGGACTAGCGGTGCTAGTGATGGTATGAATAAGGCAGCTGATGCAATCATCGATTCTGGGGATATAGTTTTACTAGAAGAATTCACTTTTACTCCGTTTGTTAATAGCGTTCTCAATGCAGGAGGAATTATAGTTCCTACTAAGCTTAACTTGAGCAGCACAGATGCGAAATTTGATGTCGCCTACTTAAGTAACCTATTAAACAACTGGGATAATTTGAAGCCGGAACATAAGAAAAACAAACCAAAAGCATTATACATTATACCTACTTGCCAAAATCCAACAGGCATAACACATTCAATTGAGCAGAGAAAGAAAATATACGAATTGGCATCAGTTCATGACTTTGTTATTATAGAAGATGATCCGTATGGGTATTTAGCATTGCCTCCTTTTTCCAAACCGAACATTCTAGAAATACAAAGGGAAAATATATCCGTTGACGAATTCCTTAACAATCAATTGATTCCTTCCTATTTGCGTTTCGATACCGAAGGTAGAGTAATTCGTTTAGAAACATTCTCAAAGGTATTTTCTCCCGGCTTGCGGTTAGGTTTTATAGTAGCCCATGAAAATATTATTAAAGTAATTAAAAGAAATGCTGCAATCGGAACCAGGTCTCCATCAGGACCTTCCCAATTGATATTGATGAACGTTATAAACCAAAAATTAGGGGGATTACAAGGATGGTTAGAATGGATTTTAAAAGTGAGACTAGCGTATGTCCATAGGAGAAATGTTCTTATAAACTCATTGACAGAACTGAGGGCTTATCAAAATGGCTATTTTGGAATTTTAAGTTCTGAAGCTGGAATGTTTGCCTCTATAATTATCAACTTTCCACAAGGGATTAACAAAATCGATAAACTAGAGTTGCTTAATTACAAATTACTTCAGCATGGGGTTACAGTTGTTCTTGGCAACAAACTAGCGGTTGATGTAGAATTTAGTAAAGAAAGTGCTAATTTTCTTAGATTATCTTATGCAGAACTAGATAATGATGCCGAATTGGAAGAAGCAGGGAAGAGACTTACAACAGCAATAGAAGAATTTTTTAGAAAGGATTTCAACTATTAATATTTTGAGTTCGTAAGTTTATCCTTTCTTTGGGGGATTTGCTATTTAGTATTATCAAAATTTGTATAACTTTACATATGTACAGTTAATTTAATTGATTTGAATGATTTATTGAAAATTTTTAGTCCAAATTTACTTAGAAACTGGGAAATTATGTAATAAATTTGCTTGATAGGTGTGAAATACTTTCAGTTCCAACCAGTTCCACAACAGAATCATCCGCTGCAAAGATAGGCCGGCCGTTGGAATCATGTTCAGTATCCCATTTTTGTAGATCATCTTTCTCCACCTTAACAACAGAATGACCCAGTTCTCCACAATCCAAAGAATAGAACAAGATTCTATGTTCATAGTGACCAAATCTGGGCAATACTTTAGCCCAAATATAATAATATAGAACACAAATTCCTAAAATCCCCACACATACTATAGCGTATGTACAATAAAAAAAAGATACATCTGATCCGATGAGTGTACCATTCAGAGGTGGAACCCATGCCATAGCAATTACGAAGACTTCAAAAAAAATTGTAACAACTAATATCGGTAATGGAACTTTCCATCCTTCAAAGCCCAAGCCAGCCTCTTTTCTTTGCCGCCTAACTAAAATTAAACCAATAACGAGAAGTAGTTTAAATATATAATTTGAATAAGACCCAATATCAACTATAAAGTTATAGGCATCACCTGCAGGTGGAGCGATCATTACAATTATATTCACGAGCCATGTGGCAAAAATTGGTAAAATAGGTGTACCCCATGGTCTTGTTGTAGTCCAGAGACTTGAATAGGGCAATACACCTTGTCTTCCACATTCTCTTAGAGCCCTGGAGTGGCCTATAACAGCTGCTAATAAGTGGCCTAAAGCAGATAGGGCAACCAATGCATCCAAAGCTTTCCTTGCGGGTACAGAATTAAACACATTCTGAAAAAATAAAGAAGCAATTAAAGTATTAGAACCCTTTATATTTTCTATACCGTTTGAACCAGCATAATATGAGGTAATTATAAGCACATACAATATAAAAATAAAAAACACCACGCCTGGAATGAAAAAACAAAACATACGCTTAGTGTGCCTTGGGTTCGACTCTCCTACTACACCAAAAACATACTGAGTACCACCATAAGAAAACGAAACTTTGATAATAGCATTTGAAATAGCATTACCATCCGTTGTGGTCCCCTCCCATGCATTTTTGAATATTGAGGTTGGATTTGCAATTCTGGTACCTCCCGCAAGAGTTACAAAGCCTGTTATAATGATAAAAGCAATAAATATTACCTTTATTGAACCCAAAATGTTAGAGAGTCTTAATGTGGCTCTAGTATTAATAGAAGATAAGACGCAAACAAATGTTAAAATACCACAGCCTATAGCCCTCTGTCTCCAAGTTGTAGCTTCAATATCAGCAGCATTGAGTATATAAGTACCAAACGCTATGGCTGAAGAATTAAGAAAAGATAATAAAACAGAGACTGCCGCATAAGTTGTCGGTACTAAGAAATCAGGTTTAGGGTAAGCTTGTTCCAAATATGCTACATCACCACCAGATCTTCTCTGAAAGTAAGTAACAAATTCTATGTAAATGAATATTTCAAAAAGGGCAATAAGGAAGCCAACTACCCATAACACATAAGAAGCACCAATAGATCCAATAGACTGGACTATGCTTCCCGGTGTAGCAAAGATACCAGTACCTATGATACCTTGTATAACCATGTAAAATGCTGCTATATAATCCAAATTATAACCCAAAGGATTATTATTTTCAACAGGTGCACCATTTGGTTCCTGGTTTTCCGATTCAAATTCTACTTCCTGAACTTCAAAGTCTCGTTTACCTCCAATAAAAGGTTCAAACACTCTCAGAAAATGATAATTTTTTCCCATATCCAATGCAGCTAAATGTTTTTCCAAAAATGAATATATAAAATGCGAAACATATATATATGTATATATCAGATTTCAAAACACTTATTTCCACACATTATGTTGCAATACTAATGCCTCAGTTTCATGTTTCACAAATTCTTAGAAACTAAGAATTTTGATAATGTCATTTACAAAGCTAAATAAATTAGAATTTACTATATAAAATGAAAAATTAAGTTCAATTTTAGATTTGAAGATTGAAGACTTTCCTTAATATACTTAGAAAATAATAAATATAATCTGATCCCCATCAAGCATTTACTATTTACAAGATGTGAGATTCAGTGGCGCGATAAGGTTGTCACAATATAGTGATTTCAGGTTATTCCACGTGATATATGCGATGGTTCCACACTAAATACGTCTCAGAAAAAACCCAAATTTACAAATTCACAAATGAAATAATTAGGTTTTCGTTTACAGATTTTGGGCATCAATACTGAGGCAATACTGAGCAATACTGAAGCAGCTGTCAGAATTAGTACTAGCTAGTAGCTTTAAATTTCTTTAATGAACTTGTGTTAATCTACTAAGATACTTATATATAGCAATTGGTAGTACTAATTTCACAAAGTATGATAATTAGATGCCCATATTGTATAAAAAATATATTTTAACATCTTTATTCTGTAATTTCGGTTTCTTATCACTTTCGTGAATAAAAATGAACTTTAATAAAAATTGGGAAGTTCTTGGAACAATATAAAACTTCTTGTCCAATAATTTCATTTCTCCTCACATTAGCCCCCAAAATAACTTAAACAAAGTTGCTGCTTTACTCGGAATAACTTTTCAGAAGATCCTACATAATTCAAAAAAGGAAGTTGCTCTTCAAACCAATTTTTGTTTTGCTAAAAATCATACTATATATTAGTTTGCTTTTTCACCACATATCAATTCTTAATTCTACTAAGCAGTACAGAAAACACTAAGAAATAGGTATAAGAATTTTTTTGTCTGTCAAGAAAGAACTGAGAACTTACGTATACTTTGGCGTGGTACAGGTACATCTCTACAAATTCATAGAAATGAATGTCCGTTTCGGCTTTTTTTTTCATACACAAATGTTTAAAGTCAAAAAATAGCAAATGGCCTGTATTTAAGGAGTCATTGTATCCAATAAATCAATTGGTTGTAGAGTTTGACTAAGTCAAAAGGACCACGAGGAAGATAAAGATGAAAGGGGGGATTTCGAGCAATTATACTGCATTTGATGAAATATTTATTATGTATTACATTTGTAAACTATCATATATGGGAGATTATTATAATTTCTAAATCCAATAGCCTTTATTTCAAGCAGGATATATTGTTAGGCTAGTTTAATATACATAGACACTACCATGCAATTGATCCGATCCGATTATAATAAATCTGATGGAAAGGTGTATTTTATTGATTCTAGGAACTCTGAATATACACAAAACAGATTGGACTCCAACATGTTTTTTGTGGGAATCCTGGGGGGAGTAGGGTGAGCAGAGAGAGATCTTATATATTTGGTCAAATAATCCAGAATTAATATTAAGAATCAGATGAGCAGCCTAATTATGTAGAAGTAACAGAGGGATAGGAGAATGATATCTAAAACCATGTTATCAATAAGAACCAAAGTATAAATTGGGCCACCTAACAGTTATTACATACCAATCTTTCCCTAACTCACTATCCGCTACCATTAGTGAGAGTAAAATATGCGTTTCGCGAACCATTTGCTGCAACTTTCCAAATGCGAATGCAGTTATTGGGTAGTCTGTAGATTATTACGCGAACCCTAAATCATTCGGTAGCCACACCCATGGAAGGTTAAAGGGCAAATTCAAACGATCCGGTGTCTTTTCAGTACACCGTATGCTCTTGTTCTATTATTTGAGTTAAGTGTGACATAGGCTGCAGTTTCATGGGAAGCTTATTTATTTCTAAGGTCAGGTTGTTAAAACGAATTCTGTTAACGAAAATACTGACTCATTCACTTGCAACATAAGAATTAGTGTTGAAGACCAGCATATATAATTTTTGATTGAGAATAAATGTTTCAAAATTAAGAAGATATAATTGTGTATCAATTCTCTATTCCGTTTAGAATTACAATTACCTTGTCTTACGGGGAAAATGTAAACTACGAATAAGCCCAAAATGAATGCAAAGACAAAATACGATAATATAACATCTCCTTATGAGCTATATTCTACGTACTCTATTACCGAGTTTTTCAGATATGGAAAATATAGTAAAACTTAAAACCGCTAACGCCGAACATAGAAGAACACTTCTCTTCAGCTTTATATAATACATACTGAAACATCAAATTGCAAAGTTCTTTAAAGTTTCAAACCATCCATTTATTCAAGTGAGTGGAACATTTATCTTACCTAAGAGAAAACGAGCATTTGAAGATGGTAAGAGATACCCTCATTTGTCCTTCTACACGTGCAATAACAGAAGAAGTAGCATTAGCTTATAAGACAAAGGGGTGGGGATAATGACAATTAGAGCATCTTCTACAGTTCATGGAGAAGGAGACAAGGGATTCGTATCATCTCTAACAGAATTGCTAAAGAAACGGAGTTGCAGGCTATATTGGTGAGGGTCAGAAAGTTTGGCCAGATGTGTACCGCTTAGATATTGCTACCTTTTACCGGCTCACTCTTGAGAAAAGTTTTGCAGTACATCCAAATCTACTAATCATTCTTCAGATAAACTAGATAATATTATCGATGATGAATCTAGTCTTCATTTATATCAGATTCAACATTCTAATTACTTTTTAATGATACATGCATTAAGTTTTGGCAAAACTTCCTAAGGATATATAACCTTTTCAAAAATGATGTACTTTTAAAGAAGATAAACTAACCCAATGATATAGAGGAGATGAGCAAGTATTCAAAACATAAAGCTATATTCATTGATATTTTGCAATTCCCTCAGCCTTAATCTGCCACCGCAAAGACTGATGCAACTGTTAACGAATACTGCAACCAAAATGTTCCAGAGTTGTATAGTAAAGCCTACGAGGAAAAACTAAAAAAGGATTTAGCTACATTACGTCATAGAAGAGTTTTAGTGAAGCACACTCTCTTGGCTGCACATCACCGTTTATGACTGTTAGGTCATTAGGAATATTGACTATTTCAATCCATCTTTCGCTCATTTGTTGATAAACATTCGGACACCTCATAGCATCTACATACAGCTGTGGAAACAGAAACAAACCGTGTTTTCGCAAGTTTTTAATTGG